GTGTGAGGTATGTTTGATATTTAACGATACATAATTATGTCTTAATTTTCACCTTTAAAATATTTTAAATGATTCATACTTAAACAAAGGTTGATAATATTCTATACATGCTTCATGAAACATGCAAATTTTCTTAATATTGCGAAATTCTCTCAATACAACTTTGGTTAAACGACTTATTTAAAATAAAAAATATAAAATAAATTTCAGAAACTTATTTAAAATATAAAATCGTAGGAATCGGTAAGAAAACTGATACAACTTATTTAAAAAAAATATATAAAATAGATTCGGAAATCTTATTTAAAATATTAAATAAGAAATAAGTTACAAGTGTTGTTATTTACTTTTTTGATAGTTGTTTGAATTTTCAATTTTGTTTATTAAAATAAAAAATATTAAATAAATTCTAAAAACTTATTTAAAACATTAAATATGTTTAATAAGTAATAAGTTAGAAGTATAGCTGTTTAAAATAATAAATACTAAATAACTCTTTTATCTTAAAATAAAACGTAAATGATAGAATTCAGCAATTTAAATATTATAAAAGAATAGCAAGACGTACATCTTTTATTAAAAATATTTCGTGTACACTGCACGGATTTTGTATAACATAAAATTCCCGGGAAAAATGTTTCGTATATTATTACATATAATTATATGTAAGTACAAAATATGTCCATATATGTATATATAATTTTTTTTCCGGGTTATTATAATGATACTGATATAATCACTTATTGTAACACAATTAAACTAAGATATTCATGAGCTGTGTGAATGCGTAAAGCATCTAAGAAATAAAGCAAAAACCGTGTAATAAAGTCTATTGATCGGAGAACATTAAAAATATAAAGAATATATTATTTTACTTATTCGTAATATTCGTTATTATTGTACAAACAGGTGGCTGTGCCACGTGCCGCTCTTCACATTTCTTTTTGAAATGAAATCGCGATAAATACATAATATGAATCGACGCACTTTAGATTTCAAAAACTTACATAAAATATTTAATAAGAAAAAGTCAGAAAAAGTTTTTTTAATCCTTAAATTTATACGATTTTTATTTACATATGTAAGAGATGTGGAATTAAAATTTGTTCGTTTAAGGACCCATTAAACTATCCCTCTTTTAGGGGGCTTATTACGATTCTCGGATTGGGTGAAAATGACGGAAGTGAGCAACTCACCCAATTATATTTAATCTCACCTCGTGAAAATACGAAGTTACTCGCGTGAATGGGCTCGGCACGAAATTTATAAGTGAAAAGGTGAAATGAAAATAAGAGTGACGAAGAAAGAAGACTTTTTTGCGCACACGATGGACAATTTAATAATCGAAATATTAATGCGACATCGAGAAAATGTAACGCTTAGAATACGAAGGAGACTAAGGATGCCTCAGATCCATTTGGTATACCAGAAAGTGAATTCCACAGTCTTTATAGGTAAATGTGATTTTGTATACTTTTAGAGGTTACATTTTCTGAAAAGTTGATATTTACAATGAAAAGTAAAAATCGAATAAAGTGAGTATACTGTAAACTTATTTATAATTTTTCAAAGATTATCCCGGGAAGCCGTACGAGTGCTCACCGAAAAGATATACGACCTCTTCTACTAAATCCAAGATGACGTCACGCAGTTGCTGTTGAATTACAGGTATTGAAGTTAGAATAACATCATACAAAGTAATATAATGATTTAGTTTTTCTATTAAAATCTTATTATTTATTATAACAATAATTTTTTGTTACAGGTTCTAATTGTATTGAATTTTATATCGTCTGGTTTATATCAAAAGCGAGTTTTTTCTTTGGTCAAGATTTTTTAACGTGTGTAAGTCAACCAACAGTAAGTAAGATTCTACGCAATATTATCCTGCATAAACAAAATTAATTTACTTATTACCTATTATTATATTATAATAATTTATAGTAATTTAAATTGCTTAAGCAGATTTAAGCAGTGTCGTAAACTAATTATAACAAATTATTAGTATCTTAAATATTACTTATGAATACTAGTCAAGGGTAAAATACAAGTAACCGACAAGCACGTGCCAGCCTTGACGTGCCAGCATATAAATAAAAGTGCTTACCTATTAACTTTAATCTGCGCTCCTGCGATCTGCAAAACCTAGGTACGTATCAGACGCAATATTGCAAAAGGAAAAAGTTGTTTCTTTTTAGTATAAAGTATCACTTGTACTTCGCGGGCGCGAATTTTAAAACACCCTGTATAATCAGCATTTATAGTGAATTTTCTTATCAATTTATTTTCCATATCTGTCTCTTTGCAAAAAAAATTAAACCCTTAACGGAAAGAAAAAATGTTTGATGTAACTTTTTAAAACGATTAGCAAGAGTGGAAAAAGTGACTACAGCGCTTTAAAAAAACGAGATATTTTTATAAAAATCTTTTAACGAAACATAAAATATTCTTACGTAACTTAAAAAAAGGGTTACATTAGATATTTGTAAAAAAATTCCGTGATCTAAGCGCTATAGCCACTTTTTATCACTCGTGCTAATCGTTTTATTATAAAAAGTTACGTCAGAAACTGTTTCTTCTCGTTGAAAGATTATATTTTGATTACAAAGAGACATACAAAAATTGAATTAATAGGAGCGAACTGACTGTAAATTGTTTTTATTATTCCGCTACACCGCGCATCTTCCTTGAGTTTGAGCAAATGTCAGACGATGATCATTTCAAATCCACGTAACTTATTGGTCATAAGAAATTGTACAAAAACAAAAAAAAACTCGTGAAGGTAAAAAATAGCACTTTAAAGTAATGTAGACAAAATTGGCAAAATAAATAATTTCTTTAACAATACTTTCTCCGTAATACCATTTTAAATATGGCCAAAATCATCATTTTTCGTTTATAATATCTCAATTTTCTCGGAAATATGACATGATAAGCAAATTCTAAAAACAGCATCATTTTCAACGTTAAGAGGATCCTAAAGCCTCCTATTTTACCACGTAAGCAAGTATAATTTTTGTATAAAAGAAATACTTTTTTTTCTCTTTCACCGATTCGAAAATCCTTTTCCAGGATTAAAGTATACACATCAATACGTGTCTGAAAAACTGTTTTTAATTTGCGATGAGATTATTACGTTAATTATATGCTAACTGAAGAAAACTCTGTGTAGTTGAAACGTATTATGTATTCACGGATTTATCCATGCACTTGATTGATTTTTACAAATAAATCTACTGACTCTCACTACTATTAAGCACTGCCGATTAATCATTCGGCAACTCAGAATTACTACAAAGAAGGAAACATTGCACGTGGTAATCACACTCAAATTCCATTGCAAATCAATACGGCCACTGATTTACACAAGTACTTGAACGACAAAATAAGGAATTTATTAACTTTATTACTAACTTTATTAATCACAATAAAATACTACCGATTAATTATGCGATGAGTTGAAATTACTTGAGGTCGATTACTGACATGATACTTTCCACCTTACTTTAGATACGTTACTTAGGCCGTATGCACTACACATGAGCTAAAAAAGCGGTCCGTATACCATTATTGGCCCAGTAGTCATTGCACAAATTTCAATTATATGTTCGTGAGATAGCTTCAAATCGTTCAAGAACGACAATTTCTAACGATTCTTGAAACCGAGTTAATCTTCTTTTCTAATAACAAATTTTTTATGGCAAAAATCAAAAATTTTCAGTGAGTTTATTTAATTTTGGGATTGCTCTGTGATTTGCGCTGTGAAAATCAACATTTTTTAATAGCATTTTTTACAAAGATTTTTAATAATACTGGAAGATTAATAGCGTTTTCCACTGAGAGTACCAATGCAACACTAGTGCGTAATGAGTGCCACTTTATTGTTCTACTGTGAAAACCGGTTCACATATATTCAGTGTGAAAATCGCGAGTGTTTGCTGTAGCGCGCGATATTTATTTACCGCCTTTCATTTTCCCCTACTTTTCTTCACTCCCTACTTTATAGTAATTATATTAATAACCATTTAATATCATAGCTATACATGATTTGTCCGTGAGCCAAATAGAAATGGAATAAAATTTTCAAACTGCATTTCTAAAGTAGACAGTCCGTAAGAATATGAATATACGAACGCGTGACTAGTCAATGAACGTTATCAAGCAATAAAATCCATCGAGAATTCAGTGAAATTGATAGTGAATTAATTCCAATAAAAATAACCAATAGTATATTAATTAATTGTGGATCGAAAAGGACTATAAAATGTGGTTTTTCAATAAAACATGTACAAGCAAAACACGTCTTGATGGTAAAACTGTTGTGATAACCGGAGCGAGTAGTGGTATCGGCAAAGAGACTGCTAGAGATTTATACGCGAGAGGTAATTTCACTGAAATGATAATTTAAGTTATATACTTAAACTTAGAAATTTAAATAGATATTTTATATAAATGAAATATAAATTTGTTATTGATTAAAAGATAGTGATTGTGCATTTAAGTATAATATAAATACAAATATGATTTGATTAATGACAAGCGTGAAGATATCGGATATCATCATCAATATTTCAAGTAATATCTCAAATAGTGTCTCAAGATGCTAATACGGATCTGTGGTTCTTATTGTTTTATGATATTTTAGGATCGTACTTAAAATGATTTTAAATATAAGAACCTTTGTGCATTTAAGTATAATATAAATACAAATATGATTTGATTAATGACAAGCGTGAAGATATCGAATATCATCATCAATATTTCAAGTAGTATCTCAAATAGTGTCTCAAGATGCTAATACGGATCTGTGGTTCTTATTGTTTTGTGATATTTTAGGATCGTACTTAAAATGATTTTAAATATAAGAACGCACTATGAATACCGGTAAAAGATTTTTTGGGTCACTCAGTTACACTCTCAGTTGTTAATGGTGGTGAAATAAAGTTTTAGGCAAATGATAATGTAATAAAGTCACCCACAAGATGATAAAGAATAATCGAAAAAAATGGCAATTATTAAATAAAAATACGTTTGGAAAAGTATATCACACACACACACACACACACACACACACACACACACACACAAAATAATTAATATTTTATTTTATTCTTAAAATCTCTATAAACTTTTCGAACAATCCAATAAAATGCATTTTAAAATACATTTGTATAAATAATGTGTGCATTTAGGTGCTAGAGTAATTCTGGCTTGTAGAAATATGGAAAAGACAAATAAAGCAGTTGAAGATATAAAAAGTAATCCACCTTCAAGGTAAATAGATAAACTGGTAACAAGAATTAATTAAATTCATTACTATATCCTTTAATTTTCTCTTTTTCTCTTTATGAAATATATATTTCAATTAAATGTTTGTATGTTGAAAAAATGATGATGTGGTTTTTAACTTTATGGCTATTTTTAGATTCAACAAAAGTGAATACAAAAATAACGCTGGTGAGCTTGCGATTTACTTTCTGGATCTACGTAGCTTGAAAAGCGTGAGAGATTGCGCTAAAAGTTTGTTGACAAACGAAGCAGCTATTCACATACTTATAAATAATGCCGGTGTGGCTGCATATCCAAATGAGAAAACGGAGGATGGAAATCAGACGACACTACAAGTCAACCACCTTGGTCATTTTCTTTTGACACTTCTACTGTTGCCAAAAATGCAGAAGTCTTCTCCCAATTGCAGAATAATTAATGTCTCATCAATTGTACATATTTGTATGTAAAAACGATATATTGTTGTAGTTTAAAAATGAAAAATAAGTGTTTATTATATTTAGTATTTTCGTTTAAAGTACAATTATAACAAAAAATCTTATTGTAGTTGCTGATATAGACTTCGACAATATTAATTTAGAGAGATCTTATGCACCATTTAAAAGTTATGCACAAACCAAATTAGCGAACATTCTATTTACCAAGGAACTCGCTCGTCGATTGAAAAGTATACCAAAAAAGGAAACATTCTTACATTTTAATTGGAAATTATGTTTATTTTATCTACTTCTTTAATCTACTTTTTTTATCTACTTAAAAATTGCTAGTTAATTATTAATGATTTGTTATGTAATGAAAAAATATGCATAGAAGATAGATTCTTACATAAGATTTCTGTTTGTAGCAGCAAACATTCATGGAATAAACGTGTATTCTTTACATCCTGGTATTATACCAACTGAGATATCACGGTATGGCAATAGTACAATATTTGCAGGTGCAACTTTTTGTTACACTTTATTTGCGCAATTGCTTTATAAAAATGCCATGCAAGGAGCGCAAACAACAATATATTGTTGCATAGATGAAGAGATAGCCAATGAGACTGGACTTTATTACTCGTAAGAATATATTATACTAAAATAAATAATTTTGTAGTTTTTTAAGAATAAATCGTATATAAATAAATTATCTATATGAGACTCCGCGATTATTAATATAATATTTAATTAATATATTATTTATAAAGTGATAAAATATAATTTACGAATATTTAATTGAAATGAAATGAGTTAAAGAACGTTTTTGGACATTTTCAACATTTTTTGGTAGAACAAATAAGTACTTTAATTTACTGAGAGAAAAAAAATTGTTGTGGCAACTATAAAGTACAACTCTAAAATTTAAATACTTGCAACTAGTTTTAAAAAGTAAAAAGAACTAAAGTAGTACTGAATATTATAAAAATATAGTATAGTACTATAAAAATATAGTGTTCAGTACTACTTTAGTTCTTATCACTTTGTAAAACTAGTTGCAAATATTTAAATTATTAGAGTTGTTAATTTAGTAGTTGTTAAAAATTTAAACAAATTCTACAGCATCTGAAAGTACAAGTACAACTTAAAATCTTTCAAATGAGTTTTTATTTGTGTGTAGTACTTATTTTCATCAAGTTATAGCTCTTTGAATTGTTGACATTCTGTATAATTACGTAGTTCAACAAAAAATAACTTTTTTTCTTTTCGAAGTGTCATATCTCGAAAATTTTTTTGCGATGAATACATCATCAGAATTTGCGTAACACATCAAGATTTTTAATAAATTAGAATAAATAAAAACCATCCCAATTTACTAAAAATCCTAATATACTATGCAAATTCTTACGACGGCGCACAATGGGCCAGCAAACCCGAAAACTGGCCAAAAGTCGAGTTTAAAATTTACTGTAAACAATATTTCATGTGTCATAAGAATATCTCAGAGAACATATAAATGAACTGTATAATGAGGTTTTGGTAACAGATTTCGAGGAATAACCGCTTGATTACAAAATACAGGTGATAATTTCAGACCTATCTTTAAAATAAAAAACATTAAAACTATGAATATAAACTTTATAAATTAAATGTTTAAAAATCGTATTTGCTTTAAAAGTGGACAAATAATAATGCTATACATTCATTTACTCTAAATATTAGCATTACTATTTGTGGCAGAGCTATTTACGCGAATATTTCTGATTTAAATAGATTATGACACATATGGTATTCATCGTGCCGACCTGTGCGGCCTCGGAATTAATTTTTTTTATCATGTTTTGTTTGTATGAATATGGTTGACGAGAACAAGTTACTTTTGCTCGTTGCTAAAGATATGTATTTATTTTCCCACTACTACACAGTAGGCCAAGAGACTCGAATAAGTGACCAAAAATCCATTTATTTCAGAATTTTGATAAAATTATGAAAAATGATGGTCATGTACGGTTCTTCGGATCGCTGATTTCGAATCTGATGTCAGAATTGCACAATTCAAAATGGCGGATACAAAATAGCGAACAATTTTCTATAATAATTGTCTAATTTTTATGAAATTCAGTAGTATGTATCGATTTTTTAATTTTTTTATTTTAAAATTGGAATGTAGTCAAACATTTTTAAAAATTGATTAATTAATTATTATTCAAACATGATTACAAATCATCATACTGCTCTTCATTAGTCAAATGACCGTATCACGTAAACTTTCGTAAAAATTTGTAAGGCCGCTTGAGTCATCTTCTTTCTCGGTCTCGTTTGATTGAGAAAAAGAAAAAATGTTCTCGTTTCGCAACAATAGAAGATATATTTAATAGAACTATGGATACTTCTGACCCCATTATATTTATACTTAACCTTAATTCGCGAATTTAGAAAAGGCAGTACAAAGCTATCCCCAAAGAAGTTATTCACTTGCTTGACATTCCTAAGTTTGACTAGTCAATGGATTTTCTTTCTGAATGAAATGAAACCGAGAAAGAAGATGACTCAAGCGACCTTACAAATTTTTACGAAAGTTTACATGATATGGAGATGACTAATGAAGAGCAGTGTGATGAAGGAGATTTGTAATTACGCTTGAATACTAATTAACCATTTAAAAAAAATGTTAAAAATATAAAAATGATAAAATTCAAAAAAAATTCAAAAATAAATAATTTTGGATCCGCCATTTTGAATTATGAAATTTTGACATCAGATTCGGAATTAGCGATCCAAAAAACCGTTATTTAATTTCATAAAAATTAGACGATTATTATAAAAAATCGGCTGTCATTTTGGATCTGCCATTTTGAATTTCTAAATTCTGAGTTTGAATTCGAAATCAGTGACCCCAAAAACCCTTAGATACCGAGTTTTATGCCAATCCATCAACATTTTGAATTTTAGTCAAGATTTCGGGTCGTCTGGCCCACTGTGCGGCACCATGTTCAGCGCGAAAAATTTTTGAGATATAAATTATGATATTTCGAAAAAAAATTTTTTTTGATGTATAATGTAAATACAATTATATTTAATTTCGTATTATCTTTGTTTATATTTAGAAATTGCGGTGTTACTACTCCATATCGAAAGGCAAATGAACATCAATACCCCGAAAAATTATGGAATGTATCCTGTCGACTTTTACATCTGGAACCCGAAGAAGATTTTATCACATTTTTAGAAACTGTTTCACGTCAAATGCCTTAAAAAATGTCTTTATTCGTGAACGAATTTGGAATAAAATCTTTTTTATTTTAATTTTTAACAGATTAAGAGCTAATGTTTTTTCGGATAAATTGTATGATAATTCACGTAATGGATAAAAGAAAGATAGAAAGTACAAAAGAGAGAGAAAGCGCGCGAGTAAGTTATTTATATGTATAATGATCTTATTATATAAGAATTTTATTTACAACGCTGGATCTATGTTCTTGAATTTTACATGTAATTAATAACGACTTATATTGTTGAAAAAATTTCTTTGTAATAGTTTTAACATAGTCTTCTTAAGATGGTAACTTAAACGCTTGTTGGATGTATCAAAATAAAACTAGATTATCTAATGATAGATTATATCGAGTTTGTGGTATGAACATGAACGTTATGAACGAAACATTAAGTGAAGAGTTGAAGATTAAATGCGAAAAATATTATTCTATTTATTATGATACAGAATGGTATATAAGAATGGTGTTACATGTAAAACAAAATATGTGCAAAATTAAATTTTTGTGTACTAATTTAGATGAATTCAAATGGCCAAAAAAAGATGATATTCAAGAAGTTGATAAAAGATTTGTAATACATGGACCGATAATTTTAAATGGTACAAATCCGTTCACAATTGATAAAAAAGTACGTACAGAAATTTAAAAAAAATTCAAAAAGTTAAAAAAATATTAATTATTATTTTATATTATTATTCATTACGTTTCTATAAAGAATTTATATTTTTATTTTAATATAATCCCATAGCTTTAAGGTCGGTAAACTCGGGTATATTATGGCCATACGGATAAGATGGCCATAGGTTGTAATTTCTCTAATAATTTTTATAAGTAGAGCATTTTTGTAGTTATTCTGAAGCTT